GATCGCTATGAGTCAGAACTAACCCGATGGCACATGGCAACACTAATAAAATACATTCTAAAATCTCTAAATACATTCTGAATTCATGTGGTTTATCATGTTCCTCTTTTCATTTGTCTAGGTGAAATACTTATTTTCTGATAAAACAGGAACCCTCACTTGCAATGTTATGACTTTTAAGAAGTGTACGGTCGCAGGCATCGTTTACGGGTAAGTATTTTCTTTGCCAGGCTGTTGGAAATGCTTTTACTCTCTTTTTTTTTTTCCCCCAAAAAATCTATGAACTTTTATTCACTCCAAAATTTTTCTGAATTTTCAATGTTGTAACTGATCTGAATGAGATGAAATGAAACTTTCTGTTGTTGAAAACTGTGGTTTATGTCTGCTTTCTTTTCATAGTTAGAAATTTCAAGAAGTTTGATACTTATAGTGTAACATAAAACCAAAAGCAAACTCACTGCCATTTGAGACGATTCCAACTCATAGCAATCCCATTTGGGTTTCTGAGTCAGTAAATCTTTATGGAGGTAGATTGCCCAGTGTTTTGTGGAGTGGCTGGTGGGTTTGAACCGTCAACCTTCTGGTTAGCTGTCAGATGCCTTAGGCACTATGCCACCAGAGCTCTTGGTAGTCTAACATAGAGATAATAAATGATATAGTGACCATTTGGCATAATGTGTCCGTCTTATCATATTTCTTGAAACAATTGAATTTTTTCCCTTAGTGATTCCTCGGAAGGGAGTGATCCTGATACAGAAAAATTCAGGTACATGATAATACATTTTTCTACTTTGCCCTTTGTCCTTTTTTACCTGCCACAACTTTTATCAGTAGTGGAATACTTACATACAGTGACACATCTCTGCCTTGTTCAGACTTTAAATTAAGAAGCTTCCCTTGATAGGCTTTCCCTATGTGTCTTTCAAATAACACTGAATCTATACTTTCTTTTGTTGTTTTTGTGGTCACTCTGTCTGAAACCCCTTACTACTACATAGTTTCCAGTATACATTTCAGCATCTTTTTATTTTTCAAGAAAACAGATGACTTTATCAATAAAAAATATTATCTAAACAGGCTCTTCCTTTTCCTTCTACTATGGCTTCCTGTCAGCACCAGAATAATAGAAAGATTCAATTAGTATGCATTCAGTTTTTTTTTTTAAATTGTGATTTTGGTGGAACTTTACACAGCAAATTCACTCTCCATACAGCAGCCCACATACACTTTCTCACAATCCTGACTACAATTTCCCACAATGCAACAGCTCCCTTCCCACTTCCTCCCCATAGTTACCTCTTCCCTGTGTCCTTCCCTCCATGCGTTCCTGCCCCCTGAGCTGTCTCCCTGTGCATACACAGCCCTTCTATTCTCTGCGATTGTTCTCTCCAAGAAGTGTGTCTCCCTAATGTAAATGTTCAGCTCATATGCCTGTCTTTTGTTTGGCTGGAAGCCACTGGAGTGGGTTTAATTCCAGACCTCAAGGGCAGCTAGGGGCCATAGTCTCAGGGGTTCCACCAGGCTCTATCAGACCAGCAACCCTGGTCTCTCTCTCTCTCTCTCTTTTTTAATGATTTTGAGTTTTGTTCCACATTGTTCTCCCACTCTATCCAGGATTTCCTATGTAGATGCCCCTCCGAGTGGGTGACAGTGGTACCGGGCATCATCTAGTTCTTCTGGTCTCATAGTTGTAAAGGCTGCAGATCACATGATGTACAAGTCACTTGGACTAATTGTTTCCATGAATCTTTGGTTTTCTTCACTTCTTTGCTCTGGATGAGGAGAGACCCATCTTTGCATCTAGATGGCTGCTTGTAAGCTTTTAAGATCACTACTCACCAGAGTAGGATGTGGAACAGTATTTTGTGCAGTATGTTATACCAATTGAGGTGGATATCCCTTGCGACTATGGTCCCAAGTCTACAGGTCCAACTACTCGCTCCCTCTGGGGAGCTGGGTGTGGTCAAGAAGTGACTACAATTTTGTCCCTTGTCAGTTCTACTATATACCTGGGAATTCTTATAGAACAAAGCAATACACTTGTAGCAACGTTGCCTGCTAACCCTATACATGGTCTTGGGCACATTCCCTCTTGCATAGATACATCTAATAGTTCAGCCTGTCCACCTGTCTATCCACCCATATATCCATGTTTGCCTTCACTGACAGCACAGTACTGTATGTGCAAAAGGGTTCATCTTTGTTGTCTGTACCTCCCATGTACCTCTCTATGTCTTCCTTTTCCTTAATGCCACCATGTTGATCATTGCCCTTCTCTTCACCCAAATCAATACTTATCTCTATCTATCTAACAGTGTTTCCTCCCCTCCCCTCTCACCCCTGGTAACCAACAAAGAAAATTTCCTTCCATAGGTAAATCTTTTCTTGACTTTTTACAAAAACGGATTAACACAATATTTG